TGTATATTATCATTTGATAAACTTGACTGACTTAATCGCCCGCCAACTCTCAGTAAACCGTCATTGTCTATAAATGGATTTAGCGATATTATTTTACTATTTTTCTTTACTTTTATCTTTTCACGTAAATCCTTCAATTCTTCTTTGAAATTTTCTTCTTGACACTTTTTTATTATAACTATTAAACTTTCATCCAATTCCTTGCTTGTTAAAAACGGTTCTTTAATTGTCTATTTTTTACTTTTTAATATATTTATAAATCTCCGACAATACGCTAACACTCTTACCATTCTGTTCAGTGAAGAAAATCGATTCCACAATCCTTCTTCGATGCTATCAACTTCTGTAGCTATATTTGCTTTAATTTCTTCTTCTTTAGTGTTAAAATCTTTTTTATTTTTATGTATTTGCTCGTTTTTCAGAAAGGTAGGTCCTTGTTTCCATAATTCACATTTTAAAATATCTTTTGGATACATACCCCGTGATGCAACGTCAGCTGGGTGTTCCTTTGAAGGTACATAATGCCATTGTTCTGGTTCTAACAAATTTAAAATATCAGACACTCTGTTAGATACAAATGGTTTCCATCTCCGTGGGTAACTGTTTATCCAAGCCAAGACTACTGTAGAATCTGTCCATGCGTATACATTTCGTTTTTCAACCAAAAGTACTTCTGCAACCTCTAGCAAAAGCTTCGCCAGTAATACTGCCCCGCACAATTCTAAACGAGGTATTGCTACCATTTTAATGGGTGCTACTTTAGTTTTAGCTGTGACTAATTGTACTGTAATATCACCATTCAACTGAATGATTCACGCAAATACTACAGCTGCATACGCTAGTTTCGATGCATCCGAAAATCCATGCAACTTTACGCGACAACCCTGTGAAGTGCCAAGCCAACGAGAAATATGGAAATTTTTCAACAATGGTAAATCTTCTCGGTAAGTAATCCATTCTTTATATATATCTTCTGATACTGGTTCGTCCCAGTCAGACCCTTTTAACCACAACTTTTGTATTAATATCTTTGCAATAATAATACAAGGTGATACCCACCCTAACGGATCATATAATCTTGATATTTCCGAAAGGATTTGTCTTTTTGTTACAGGTTCCTGTATTGGTGTGATTTCAACTGAGTACTGAAATTCATCAGCCTGTCTATCCCAGGTAAGACCCAATATTTTTAAAATATTATCACTTTTAATATTTAATTTTTCAGATTCATCATTTCCTGCTACTCTATTCTGAATTTTTTTTAGTACCTCATCTCTGTTACTTGTCCATTTCCTTAACTGAAATCCTCCCTTCAACAACATATCATTCATATCCTTTTGTATTTTTAAAGCATCAGTTTCCGTTTCGCAACCAGTCATCAAATCATCCATATAAAAATCTCTAAGAACTCTTTCCTTTGCTATAGAATATTGATCTCCTTCATCGTAGGCGACTTGTTGTAGTGTCCTTACTGCTAGATAGGGTGCCGATGCAGTACCGAAAGTAACACGCAGCATACGGTATGCTTTTATATTTGATTGATCGCCCGGTCTCCACAACAATCTTTGATAGTCTGTATCAGATTTAGTGACTTTTATCTGTAAATACATTTTTGTTATATCTGCTACCAAACAAACAGGATGTTTTCTCCACCTCATTAATATATGTCGTAATTTAGATTGCAAAACAGGACCTTTTAACATAATATCATTTATAGATACCCCATCCTTTCCTTTACAAGAACTATCACAGACTACCCTGACTTGTGTGGTATCTCTGTCATTTCTTATAACTGCATGAGTAGGAACATAAACCGCATTAGGATTATTAATTTCTTTTGAAGGTACTTTTTTCATATGCCCGTTATCTAAATACTCTTTCATAACATTATTAAACTTCAACTTAAAATCTTTGTTTTTATTTAACCTTTTTTCTAATAAATCGAACCTCCTTTTGGCAATTTCTAAAGAACCTATTATTTTCGGTTTTTCAACCTTAAATGGAATTTTCACTATATACCTGCCCGCTTCATCTCTTGTTGTAGTTTCCATATAAATTTTTTCACATTCTTTTTCTTCATCTGTCAGACTTTTTTCTTTATTTACATAAATTTCCTCTTCTAACTCCCAAAATTTTTTTAATACTAATTTTTCGTCTATCACTGAATGCATAACTACTACATTATCAATAATTTTATTAGTTTTTACCTTTCCACTTATAATCCACCCAAATATAGTAGATTGTACTAATAATTTTCCATCTCTATCTTTACGTAACCCTTCCTGTAACACTTCTCCATAAATATCAGCTCCAAGTAATATATCTATCTTACCAGGAGTACGGTAACCCGGATCTGCCAAAACTATCCCTGTTAAATTTATCGTTTCTAAACCAATTATTTCTTTTGCTGGTAGAAAATTTGTAATTGTTTTCAACACATATGCATTTACTTCTATTATGATCTTAGGATCTGCTTTAGAATGCAATTTTATTTTTACACATGATGTAGATGTAACATTTTTGTCACACCCTAAGCTCGAAATCAATCCTTTAGCACGAATCTTTCTTAAACCTAATAATTGTACTGCAGATTCCGTAATAAAGGATGCCTGCGATCCTTGATCTAGTAATGCTCGTATTGGAAATCTATTTCCATTAAAAGTTTCTGCTTGCACCATTGCAGTGGCTAATAGAACTTGATCCTTTCCCGTTGAAAAACATGAAGTGACTGATTCACCATTTATCTCTAACAATGTTTCATTATTAACTCCGCTTGCTTCACCTGATGATGTTGTTTCCTGTAGATCTTCCATAGCAACATTAGTGGATAAATTAGTATCATTTGTCCCGTTCACATTAAGATGAAGCAAAGTGTGATGCAGGCGTCTGCATAATTTACAGTGTGTGTGAACCGAACAGTTCCTAGCTGAATGATTTATACCCATACAATTAAAGCACAACCCTTTTTTTAAAATGAAATCACGACGAGAATTTACATCACTCTCAAAAAATTTTTTACAATAACTTAATTTATGTTCTTCGCCACAAAAAATACAAGATGACTTATTTACATGAAAAGTTTTACTAATTGAATAATTTACAGCTCTATTTAATTTATTTGGTATTAAAAACTCCAATGCTCTATATCTATTCGTTATAATATTTTTGAATTCTTCAAAAGTAGGTAAATTATCTATTCCAATGTTATTACTGACTTGTAATTCCCACTGTTTCTTTGTCTCTGGATCTAGTTTAGAAGATATAATATATATAATCAATATATCCCACGTTGACACATCTATTCCCAAATTAGACAAAGCATCCAGGCAATCTGTACTAGTATCAATCAAACCCTTAAGACCCTCAGAGCCTTCCGAAAATAAAACCCGTTGCCCCATTAAACGATTTAAAATACAATTAGATAAATACTTTTTATTGTTATACCTGCTTATCAAAAGCTCCCATGCTCTTTCATAGTTATCCCCTACCACTGGTATTTGTCGAAGAAATTGTTCGGCTTCCCCAGATAGATATCCCTTTAAGTAATGAAGTTTCTGAACGTTATCTATATTACTATTTGAATGAATTAATGACATAAACAAATCTCTAAAAGTTGGCCACTCAGCATACTTCCCAGAGAATATAGGAATATTTATTTTAGGTAATTTGAATAAATTATTTACCCCCTGACAGCTTGTATTTTTTACTTCAGAAACAGAAGCAGGAACAGAAATAGGCATACATTTCAATAAAGCAACTTTTAAATCTGATTTGTATTGAATATATAAATCTTCTGTGATATCATAAACTTCCTTATCGGAATATTCTTTAATGTCTTTATTTATTGAATCATATCCTAGTAAAATCTGATTATGCGTACTATTAAATAATTTCCTTAAATCCTCTAACGTTTCTAAACGAGTTTGTATATACTCTTGCTTAGACAATCTGTCTTTAGAAGCTTTTTTAAAATTTTCAAACCCTTCTTGTATTTTTCTTTTAATATCAAATTGAACACCTATACCACAAACAAAGAATTATTTATCGCAACAAATGGTATATAACTTCTTAACACTAAACTAAACAACAACTATTTTTACCGCAAACCTTCTTTGAAGTATAATTAACATAAATTATCAAAGTCTTATCTTCCAATTATTTGTTCAATGTTCCAGTAGTAATTTTCATTGATGTCATAATCACCATATAGACAAATTTGTACTCACTTTTGCACAAACACTTACACCGTGACTTCACACTGCGCCCGGTACGACTTCGTTCACCTCACCTTCCTGCATGTAAATTTCAGCTGTCACCTTCCCTGCAGCGCGTCACCCGCACCCGTTTCGCTGCGCAGGAATACTCCGCCCACCAGAGCTGAAAAATTTTCCATTATTTATAAATCCGACTCAAGAAGGACCATTTTGTTAAATAAAATCATTAATTTTTAACAAAACATTTGTATTTTATTTTTATAATTTTTGACAACATCAAATCTTAATTTATTTTTCTATATATATATTTTAATCATAGACAACCCGTAGGTATAAAACCTTAACAATCATTATTCGAAGTAAATCATATCCACTTTTAAAAGCTTCCTCCAGCACAGGTTTTTATATTTACAGCATCCAACTTTTATCTACAAACTTTATCAAACCCTTTTTCTGCAACTTTATTCATCAATTGTATTTTTTAGGAAATAACTCTTAATCGACGAACACTAGGATCAAGAACATATAAAAATCATACAAAAGAAATGCTAGACTTAGCCTTTGACGTCGTAAAAAGAAAAAAAATAACTTCATTGGAAGCAGAAAGTCGACTACCTGAGGCATACTCCATCGAATAATAGGCAGCCTTCCCCGCCCATCTCCTGTTACCTGGCAAACTCAGTTGGGATTTAATCATCGAACTTTGTGTACGTGTCAGTTATTGATGATTTTTAGAAAGCGTTAATATTATGAGTTAATCTGCAGTTTTCCTGGTGCAAAGAAGCAATGAATTCGGATACTACAGGTATGTGACATTCTTAATGTAATATATTAAATAAAATTTATTATTCTTTTATTTATTCTTAGGTAACGAATGCTATAAAAATAAGTGAAATATAAATTTATGTTTGAATTTTGTTTTAGGTTCAGGGGGTACCTCTGAAGTGAGAATAGCGACTCGTAAATTACTCTTCGATAAAATGAAAAATGTAAAATTGAAACACAATTTTGTACACACAAAAATGAAGAGGTTTTCTTAAAAAGCAACCATTTTTGGCTGGAAAGTACTTTCGAAATTCCTGTCACAACTACAAATCGTCGAGGTCGCCTTCGTAAATCATTTGGTGAATGTAGCGAAAGGAGCTAAAGAAGAAAAACTGAAGAGATCCGCTCCAATGTAGAAGATGGTGTTGTAGTTCACGCAGCTCGAGTTGAATTAAGAAAATCGGGAAAACGTGATGCTTCCCGCGTACTTGAAGGTATAACAAGCTCTCCGACCCTTGCAACGAGTACAAAAAGCTTACGATACCTCTAAGTATGAAAATTCATCGCGTCTAACCCCTATGGAAGCTTTAAAAATGTTTATAGATGTAGATTCAACATGAGGACAGTATGAAGTTACAAGAAACACGAACAAGAAAATTTTCACAAGTTATCACTTAATTCAAGAAGCCAAAAAAAATGTTATCCTCATCCAGAAACGAGCACGGTAATGAGTACCTGCGCCGAAATCCAATTGCAACCATTAATTGATATTACTGTTAAGCGTTTATCGGAATTCTTAGAAGAAGTCTTTTTGACAATAAAAGAGCAAAAGCGGAACACTTTGTAGTTGATATGTTAATGCGGCTGCGACGGATTTCAACAAGCACAGTACAAACAAAAACTTGATAATGAGGTTGACTATGATGCAAATATTTATCAAAGTTGCTTTGTACGTGTGCGACTTACGTATTTGTGACAAGGACAATCAAAAGTTGTTATGGGAAAATCCAACACCTTTGTATGCACGATTTTGTCGTCCAATAAGATTTCGTTTCGTCAAAGAGAAAACTGACATAACAAACGAAGAGATCGATTATTTTAAAAATTCCATCAATAATTTGGTTGCCACTGAGGTGGATATTGACGGAGAGAAGATTTTGGAGCATTCCCAATTTGTAATGACAATGGTAGATGGAAAGGTTTGCAACGCAGCTACTGGAACAACATCCACAAGTCGTTATCTATGAGTATAACGCTTTATATTTGTGGGAAAACTTCCAAAGAATTCAACAGTTTTTAAGGACAAAAGGAAAATTTCAAAGTATGCTACTGAATTCGGTCTTTATATTTTGCACGCGAGAACACGATTTTCGTAAAGCATTTTACACTTAGCGTATAAATTAAAAGTAGCGGCAGAGAAAATCAGAAGAGAAAAAACAAATGGAGATGAATAAGATAATAGAAATACAGATCAGGTTTCGCAATGAAACTGACTTATTAGTTGAACATACCGAAAGCAAACTTCGGAAACACTAATGACGGCAACTTAAGCAGGCGATTTTTTTGAAAATCCGAAACTATCCTCAAATATTACAGGAATACATTTCGAGTTAACTTACAGATTAAAAGTGATTTTGGAAACGATTTTGAGCGGATACGAGATAAATTTAGAAAAGTATGAAAAATATGCAGAAGAAACTGCTTGCTTTTACGTTAAACTTTACCCGTGGTACCCAATGATACCCACACTGCACAAAGTACTTGTGCACGGATCAGACATAATAAAAAAAAAGCATTGTTATCCATAGGGCAACTGTCTGAAGAAGCAGCAGAGGCACGCAACAAACATTTTAGGTCACAGAGACAGGATTGCTCAAAAAAAATCTCTAGAGCAGGGGTTCCCAAAGTAGATGCCGCGGCACCCAGGGGTGCCGCCAGCGTTTGCCAGCGGTGCCAACACATTCTATAATTTTCCCAAAAAAATTAGGATTAAGTAGTAGAATTTCGTTTTATAATATGGCAATACCACTTTTATGGCGCGAATTTAATTATATTATATGGCAGCACCATTATTATGCCGGGTCTACTACTCGTCGGTCATTTTGTGGTTGAAGTGGCGTGTTGTAGTGCTTATTTTGTTGCAGATAGTTCCGTATTTATAGCATTAAAAAAAGATTGATTGCGATTTACGGTGAGTTTGAATTATTTTCTTGTTTTTGTTAAAAATTGTTTCAATTGTAATATTGGTGAGTATAATATAAATTTTAATCATTTGACTTCATTGCTAAAGGCTAACCTTTATTAAAGTTAACCTCAAAACAATTTGATGTTAATACCAACTTTAATTAACATCACAATATTTTTATTCAAGTAAATGACATGGCTACGAAATCAAAAACAATTGATTACCGATGGGTAATCAAAAGATTTACGTCAAATGTTCTGGCCTCTTAACACGGGCAGATCGGACTACGGAATTAGGTTAGTCCTTTAAGTTCAATTAAGTATGTAAAATTAGCTAGCTATGGCCTGCGTACGCAATTTCTGTCTTTTGATTGAGCAATTATGGATTATTTTGTTGCAGAATTATGGAAAATTGGCTAAAAACTGGGTCTTTAAAAAGAAAAGGTGGTGAAATTGTAGATGTTCCTGAAACGTCTGATTCAATGATAACCAGCATCGCCGTATGTAACGAAATCTGCCAGCCTTTTGGCAGCCTAAGCCCAAATCCTTCTGCTTCAGTTCGAGAAAAGGCAACTCATGTTCAAAAGGAGATTCGAGAAAAAATAAGAAAATATGACCCTAGTTACCTTACTCTGTCTGGCTATGTTCCGGTTGGAAATGAATAGCCACCTGAAGGCCAATGCGTTAATTGTCATAAAATTGTTGCTAATGGCTGCTTAGTCCCATCCAAATTAAAAAGACACCTTGAATGCAATCATTCTGATTTAGTGCATAAGGGTGAAGAAATCTTTAAGCGCCGCGCTTTATCTCTTCAGGCAGAGTCATCTTTAATGGAGGGAATTTCAAAAAATGAAAATGAAAGAGCAACTGAGGCTTCATTTATTGTCAGTTTACATATTGCAAAAACTGGAAAACCCCATACTATTGGCGAGACATTAAATAAACCTTGTCTTAAGGATGTTGTTTGTTGCATTTTAGGTCCAGATAATGCCAAGAAGATTGATGCTGTGCAGTTATCAAATAATACGATAAGCAAGCGAATTAGCTCAATTTCTGACACAGTCGAGAACGAACTTATAAGAAGATTGAAATCTTCTGAATTTTTTAGTTTACAGCTTGATGAAAGTTCCGACGTAGCGGGGCTTGCTGCACTTCTTGTATTTGTGAGGTACCCATTCGCAATGCAAATTGAAGAGGAGCTTTTGATGAGCGAAGTACTTGAGACTTACACCACTGGCGACGAGATTTTTAAAGTTATCGACCAATTTATACAGAAAAATGGTTTGAAATGGAGCAAGTGCGTGGATATTGCAGTGATGAAGCGGCCGCAATGGTTGGAAAAAGCAAGGGAGCGGTGTCTAGGATTAAGCAAGTGGCAGAAAACGCCACCAGCAGCCACTGTGTTATCCATCGACATTCCCTGGCGACAAGAAAGATGCCACAAGATTTAAAAGTCGTACTGGATGATGCTGTGAAGATAATTCATCATGTTAAGAGCCGCCCACTTCAAGCACGCCTTTTAAAACACACAGAAGTGCGGTGGCTTTCAAGGGGAAAGGTTTTAGCCAGACTGTTTGAACTAAAAGATACACTGTTGGTCACATTTACAGAGCATTCTTTCGTTCAAAAATTAACTGATGTCGATTGGCTGCTTAAGTTGGGATACTTTTCCGATATATTCGAAAAACTAAATGAAACCACCACATGTCTTCAAGGGAAAGGAGGAGCACAATTAGCCAAAATTAAGCTTCAGATACACATGCTCGAAAGTAGCACGAAAGCATGCTATTTTTGAGCAAATGCTATCAAGTAGCGCGTGTGTATTGGGCCTTGCTTGAAAATAGCATGCTAGCTAGTAGTTTGCTAGTAAATCGACCAACTGTTGATTTTTGAGCACGCTACCTGAGAAGCGGGGTAGTGGGTGCTGCGTTTAAAGCATCTCTGAACGTGTTTGCTTTGTAGCATGCTTGTTAGTAGCAAGCAGTGAGCTTAGTCAGTTGATTGTGTGTAAAATGGCGCGTTGGGGAGACGATAAGACGTTAAATTTTGTTATTAATTACCGTAACCATGAGTGTTTGTGGAATCCACGTTCACCTCTGTATAAAAACAACATTGCTCGAAATAATGCTTACGCAGATTTATTAAGTTCTATTGACGAGCCAAATTTTACATTAAAAATGTTGAAAAGTAAAATTAAAAATTTAAGATCGGTATATCATACAGAGTTTAAAAAAATAGAAAGTTCAAAGCGATCTGGTTCTGGTGCGTCCAATGTATATAAGCCCACTATTTGTTGGTTTGAAGAAATGCACTCATTTTTGAAAGACTCGAATGAGTATCGTCCAACTACAAGTACTGAAGTTTCTCATGTAAGTATTATTTGCTTCTTCTTTTAAATAAGTTATATGTATAGTTATATCCAACACCGTTAACGATGGCACTTGACCTCTCTTTTTAATTTAATGGCATTTAAAATACAAACTTGTGAAAGAAAGAGAAGCGCCGCGCTTCAACATGAAGCTTGCTTAAGCATACTTAAAGAAGGTAGATATCTAAATATCTAAATGTTGATCATATAATTTTGCCAGGGTACCGTTTCTGTTGTTTCAAAAAGTTGTGTGTATGTATCTCTAATGGCAACTGCTTGTCGAGAAGCGTGGTTAGTACGTGTCGGTGGTATACACTGGACCGCAAAGAAAACGGGTCGATTAGAAAATCGTCAATATCTTGAAAACTACTTAACTTATTTTTATGAAATAAAAACTAAATTAAAGATTATTTAATTGTAATTTATTGAATATAAAAAAATACAGCCCACACGTGTATAGAGCCACCGCCATATGGTACTTTTTCTTCTATACAAGCTTGGTTATAGCGCTCTCCCGGTCTTCGGTACACTCTTTTCCTCCCATCGTGCTTGTATAAACAGAATCTAGACTCGTCTGAAAACATAACTCTTGACCAGTCATCCAGAGTCCAAGTTTCGTGTTCTCTGCTATAACTCAGTCTTGAGTTTAAGTGGTGTCTTTCTAATTTTGGGCCATTTGCAGGCCTTAATGGTCTCAAATTTGCTTCAGCCAGAAGTCGCCTTACTGTATCTGTACTCAGATAGTTTCCTCCAGCTCGTAAATGGTGATTTTTTACCTCAACGGCCGTAAGAAATCGATTTCTCAAAATTGTTGACACCATATAGCGATCCTCCCGCGCAGTCGTGCACCTCGTTCGGCCTGTTCCTGGTCTTCTTAGGTTGGATCCAGTTTCATAGAAACGCTGGAGTACCCGCTGAACTGTGGAAAGACTCACACCAACAGTTCTCGCTGTATTGCGCTGACTGCGCCCATCTTCAAGCATTGTCAGGATCCTGGTGCATTCTTCAGGGGTTAACGACATGATGACTTCAGAATACAATTTTTGTATGACAAACACACGATATTTATTGTAGTTTTTATGTCAAAACTAAAACAAATGCGAAACAAATGCTTTGATTTTTTTAGAACTAAATTGAAAAACAACCATTATCTTCATTGCCAGTTTTGTTACACAATTATCTAAAGTAAATAAAAAGGTTTTATATACTATGTTAAATAACATTAAATATTCTTTAATTGAGTTTTTATTTCATAAAGCTAGGTGAGGTAGTTTTCAAGTTATTGAAGATTTTATACATACTCAATATTAGCATGCTGTCAAGCATGCTTAGTAGTGTGCTACTTTCGAGCATGTGTATCTGTAGCTATAAGGTACAGTTGCACATGCTAGTTAGTAGCACGAAAGCATGCTACTTTTGAGCAATTGCTACTTAGTGGTACGTGTGTCGAAATATTGCTAATAATGAGCATGCTAGTTTCGAGTTTGCTCTAAAATCGACGGTCGTGCGATTATTGGGCATGCTACGCGGGTGGAAGGGGGCGTGCTTATAACGTGTGTGAACAGATTTGCTTATTGAGCATGCTAGTATCGATCAGTCGTTAGCAGCAGGTGCGCGTGCACAATTTCGCGACAAAAATGTCTCGCTGGGGCGACGAAAATCTTTGAAATTTGTGATTTTATATCGGAACAATGAATGCCTATGGAATCCGCGCATACCAGAATACAAAAACAATATTGCAAGAAATAATGCATATCAAGATATATTAACCAACATGGACGATCCTGCTTTGACTTTGAAAATAAAAACAAAAATAAAAAACTTGAGGTCTGTTTACCACAGCGAATTAAAAAAAATTGAGAGTTCCAAGCGATCCGGTTCTGGTACCGATACTGTGTACAACCCATCCACATCCTGGTTTCACGAAATGCATTTTCTTGGAGGCACTGGCGAGTACAGGGACCCTATTTCTATGGAATTGGTAAGTTTCGATTTTTAATAAATAAAAATGCACTAAATTGTTAGTAAAACATAGTTATTTAATATCATAGAATAAGTACAGTATTTTCTATTCATTCATTTGTATCATATAGGCAGAACAATGAAATGATGATGGAGAATTTATATCATATGACATTGCCACGGTACTGCCTCTGTAGTTTCAAAGAGCTGCGCGTAGGTGTCTCTTATTGCTTCTGCCAGTCGAGAAGCGTGGTTACTGTAGCGTGTAGGTGGTAAGCCTTCTAAAGTTCTTTGCAGTTGTGCCCTTCATGATCCTGGTACCACAACACGTTGTTGTATATCTTCAAAGTCGACGCATCTTTGTGTGATGTACATATCAGATGTTTTCCGAAGCCAATTGTGTAAAGAGCAGGCAGCTAATGTAATTCTATCAACATTATTGGGGGCCATATCTATGGCATCCATAAGAACTCGAAATCTTGTTACTAAAATACCAAACGCATTTTCAACGATTCGTCTGGCTCTCGATAAACGGTAGTTAAATATTTTTTTTCGAATCGTTGGAGTTGTTCGATGGGGTTTCATAAAATATGGCTTTAGAGGGAAAGCAGCATCTGCTACAATAACTGATTGGTCTGGTAAATTGAGAGTATTATTTTCCAAAGCTTGTGCTAAATTCGATTTTTGATAAACACCTCCGTCAGATGCTCTACCATTAGTCCCAACATTTACGTATTAAAAACAATAGTCATCATCAACTAATGCCAGAAGTATAATGCTATGGGCGCCCTTGTAGTTATAGTAGTCAGAAGTACCATCAGGAGCGAATATATTTATATGTTTACCGTCCATCGCCCCAACACAACCAGGAAAGTTCCATTTAGTTCTAAATCCGTGTTCAATACGTTTCCAATCTCCATGACCGGGAATCTGTAAAAAATAAATAAATATGTGAAGTTGATATTTTATAAACTTAGTTTTTTTTTTTTACAGATACAGGATAGAGAAGAGTCATCGCAAGATTCACAACCAAGTGATCCTTCAACTACAGAAGATCGACCACAATCCCGTTCATCTAATAACAGCTCGTCAACATGACGTAGAAAGAGAAGCTCACAAGAAGAACCCATTACCTGTGCGCTCGCTCGTTTGGAAAATATTTCTTCTGCTATAAATACACAGTCTAATTGCGATGAATTCCATTATTTTGCTCAAAATGTTGCAGCTCAATTGCGAGCCCTACCATTGAACGAGGCATTAGATGTACAAAATGAGATCCAAAAAATTCTGACTGCAGCAAGACGCCGATACCAGTACCCAAATTTGTCTTCCTTTACACCTGTCACTTACACACCTCCTGCTACAAATATACAAACAATGACTTTCATACCCCCACCTACTACAAATACACAAACTTTCATACCTTCCAATACAATCACAAACGCAGTCACTTATACACCTGCTACTACAAATACACAAACAATGACAAATACACAAACAATAACTTTCATACCTTCCAGTACAAACATAAACACAGTCACTTACACATTTCCTTACTCGTCAACCCAATCAGATTCTACCGTCCCCGAAGAAGATTTGTTGAACAAAGCATGGAAAACGTGTTAAAGCTAAGAATAAAATTTTGTTAAAATAAACAATAAATACTTGATCTTACTAATAATTACTGGTTTACTTTACTTACCCGCATATAATCCTTCAGAGCATTGTATATTGCATCGCACACTTCAGGTAAAAAAAGAGCTATCGTAGATCTTGCAACTCTGTGAAGTGCTTCTAATGTGTATAACGAATCTCCAGTTGCTAGATACCTCAATGTCACTTCCAATTTCACTTTTGGTGGAATAGCATTTCGCATGTGTGCATCTTGTTTCTTTATAGCGCTTTCAATTTTAGATAGTAACCAGTCAAACTGATGCGGTAACATGCGCAAATGATTTTTGTAACTATTAATATCTTCTTCTCGCATTTCGACTAACAATCGAGTACTTGCTCCAAGTTTTTCTCTTCTACTTAGCCAATCACGGACCCAAATCTTCCTATTCCTTGTTTTTTTCTTTCCATCTGAGAGAAGTTTTTGGACGCATTGCAACGCTACCAAAA